GCGCGTGGCGGCTGGAGCCCGCTCCTCGCAGGGGCTGCACTTAGTGTGTCCAGGAGTTTTGCTCCCGGGGAAGGAAGGAAGGAAGGAAGGAAGGCAGCTGCGTGCCTCTGGGAAACATCTGGGAGTCGGCTGTCCCGCACTTCCCGCGGCCCGGAGTCCGCGCAGAGCGGAGGGGAGCCGAGGGCGCTCCGCACGCCGCCGGGTGTACCTTTCAGTGGGACTCGGAGGATCTTCGGTCCCCGCCGCCGAGTGTGGTGACATTTTCTGCCCCCTCCCCCAGGCAGAGCGCGATCACAGCCTCGGGGCCACCCACCCCAAGTCCAGGTTGGGACCTTCTTTTCACGTTGCCCCGATGCTGGGCTGCGGGCGGGAGGGTCTCGCTCAGGCTCAGCGCTTTCCACGGTGCCGGTTGCAGGGCTGGTTCTCAAAGTGTGGGCCGGGGCCGCCAGCACCCGCATCCCCTAAACTTGTGAGAAATGCAAGTTTTCCGTCCCTACCCTCGCCTATCGATCCCGAAACTCCGAGGATCGGGGCTCAGCAATCTGTTTAAGAAACCCGCTTGGTGATTCTGGTAGACGCGACAGTGTGAGAGCCACTGGCCCCGGACAGATAAATGTTGGACGAGAGATTTCACAATGCCACCTGAGCCGTCAGTTGCAAAGAGCAAGGTGCCCACACCTCCCAGACAAAACAATTGCTCTGTTGTTTAGAGAGGGGAAAGTTAGCCAGTTGTTTGGGGCATCGGCGCAGTGCTGAGTCCTGAAACCTCCCGTCTTATCTGTCGCCCTTTCTCATGTGACTTCGGAAATGCAGTGCGGAAAATGCCTCCTCTTTGAAAGCCAAGTCCTCATGACTCAGCTCTTGGGCAGTTGAAAACAAGAACGGTTTCCCAACTGTCAGGCGTAAGAAATTGTTCCAAAACACTTTTGTCTGCTGGTTCCTGCTCTCACTAAAGCTGGAGCCGTGCTTAATCAGGTGGCTGTGTAGGATTCAGAGATAAAAGGTCCCCGGTTGCTTGGGGGGAACCAATGGCAAGTTCACCTTCTGCTTTTGAGAATCCGATTGCTGAAGGCTTCAGTGACACCGTGCGGGAGTCCAGCGAATCGCCGCTCCCACCTCCGACGTTTGGTAGGAAAGCAGCAAGGTTGAATCCCGGGGGAAGAGGAAGGGAAAGGGAACTTCAAAGAGCTGCTGAAGTGTGGACTCAGCCGTTTCACATGGGATATATTCTTTTACTTTTTCATTTGATGTAAACCCCCAACCCAACCCAGAATGTTTGGGTTTCCTTACAACACCCACCATGACGGCCTCGGGCTCACTTATTTGGTGTGTATGTGTGTGCGCACGCCAGTGCCCAGTCTCGCTTTCCTGCCCAAGTCCTGGTGGTCAAGAGGACAAAAACGCAGGGAAGCTCCACCAGACGGTGTTTAGCCACAACTCCTTAGCTTTGGTAGGTCAGGACCTGCTGGACTATTTGGTAGGAACTGACATAAACAAATACTAGTGAACAGAAGCTCGTATTTTAAACAGCAATATGTCCAAACATGGTTTACCAGATCCTCTAGGATAAATTAAAACATTTAAGATAAATAAGGTTTTTTTGGTATAATTTTGAGCATTTACGTACCTATGTTGACAACACACACATATTTGTGGAAATATTTTTAAAGAAAGTAGTTGTGGTGTAGGGAAAAGAACTTTGGATTGCTAACCCGAGAATCTGAATTAGAGTGTGGGCTCTGCTGCAGGGCAGGTCTATGGTCTTGGGGACACACATACACACACACACACACACACACACACACACACACATACACACTCAGCATTTTATATACACACACACACACTCAGCATTTTATATACAATTTTATTAGAAGTGGAAGGTGAGGCCTCCTAAGGTTCACTATTCATAAATCTCAGGTGACGGGCCTGTCAGAGCTCATTCTTAGCTACTATTTAAAGACACCCTCCAGTGCATCTAAGTAATTACCCCTCACTTACCTGTCTGGGAATCCAGTGTAGTGGAAAGAACACTGGACTGCAAGCCTGGAGAAACTGGTTCTAGTTTAGCTTTCATTGCCAGAGGGAATCCTGAAATCTGCCTATGCCTAATTAAAGAATGTTTGTTGAGAGCCTAATGTAGGTCAGACATATTCTAGATGCTAGAGATATATAAATCTAGGTATGAAATTATATAAGATGGATATGTCCTTAATGTGTTTCCAGTTTTGGTTTACAAAAATGTAGTATATTTATAATCTCATGTCCCTTAATCACAGTAGGTGTCAGCATCCATTTTACACGAGGTGAGTGAGAGAGAGGGATATCACAGGGAGGAGCAACAACCTGTCATCCGACTGTAAATATTTACGTAGAAAGACCAAAAAAAAGAATTAGATTTAACACCATTTCTTTTCTAATCACCAGGACAGTTCTGGCATGTGACTGACTTACACTTAGACCCTACGTACCACATCACAGATGACCACACAAAAGTGTGTGCTTCGTCCAAAGGCACAAATGCCTCCAATCCTGGCCCTTTTGGAGATGTTATGTGTGATTCTCCATATCACCTTATCTTGTCAGCGTTTGATTTTATTAAAAATTCAGGACAAGAAGCATCTTTCATGATATGGACAGGGTAAGTTATTAT